TATGAAGAATCAGAGGCCAAAGGAGCGTGGAGCGTAAGTACAGAAACCTCACCGTTGGAGTCGCCGTTCAGGTTCTACGCCCACACGGCCTAGAGACCTGCGACAACGTACCCTTTAAGATGTGTTCAAGTTTTGCATCAAATTGTGCAGAATCAAAGTATTCATCACTGGACCTCCGCTAACTATATGGCAGAAAACTACAGATCGCGTATTGCGCGTCAAGTTGACGTCTTTCTCTAACGAAAAGATCTCCATCACGCTTTGTGCGAAGCTTACCGCTACTTACCCCAAGACCCTGCCCGAACTTTCCCTGGAGGACTGTGGCAGCCTTAGGAAAAGCACGTGGGACAGGCTCTACGGCCTGCTCAAGTCTCGACCTCGTGAACTGCTAGGCGAGGTGATGATTTACGATATTGCGACGGCTATTCAAGAGATACTAGAGGACGAGATCGCTGTCCGCGAGACGGACGGTACCTACGAGAATCTGGATGCCGAGCGTGCAGTACAAGAAGCCGCTGCTGTCGAACATCTAAAGCAACAGGAAGAAGAGTTACAGAAGAAGCGTGACGAAGAGAAGGCTGAGGAGGAGCGTCTTTTGCAGCAGATGGTAGGTGACGAAATGCGCCGAAAAGACCTGTTGGCAAAGCGCAAGAAGCACCGTGTATCCGCCAATACTCCGCCTTCGTACTTTCCCAGCGCCGAGAGTAACAACTACATTTCATTCGACAGGACGATCGTTATCCAGCACGAAGACACGACCATCCAATGCAGTGGCGTTGAGAATCCGCTTCCTTTGCGCTCTGGCCCTTTGACCGAACAGCTATTGGTAAAACCGGCCGGAAGCACAGCAATGCTTACATTAGTACTAAAACGTGCTCGGGTGGGAGGCGGAAACGCTGCTGCTGGCCCACAGCTCAAAAAGGCCGTTATGGAGTTCGAAGACGAGATGGAAGAGATCAAGCGACTGCGACAAGGAGCCATCATGGCGGTGCTGGAGTTCAAAGTAGAGCATCTACCCGATTCCGGATGGGAAATTAGCATCCTCATGGATCACGCCGACAAAGGATCTTTAGGCGAGCGGCTTGCCGACGATGGACCCCTACCAGTCGCAAGAGTTCGTTCCTGGACCATCGAGCTTCTAGAAGCACTGGACTTCTACCACCGCAACGGTATAGTCCATAAGCGCATTCACCCTCACAACATCCTGTTCAAGAGATCGCCCGGTGGTGGAATCACAGTATTGCTAGCCGACGCCAGCTTTCAAGGCTCTCTTTATCATCTGCGAAGCTTGTGTTGGGACGAACAGCCGATGAAAATTGTAAGATCGTTCTACTGGATAGCGCCTGAGCTGTCTCAGGATGCGCGTCACACCCGCAAGACCGATGTATGGGATCTCGGCGTCACGTTCCTTCAAATGCTCTTCGGCCTCGATGTGCCTGAAAAGTACAATTCGCCGAAAGAACTGTCCGATATTCTTGGCTGCTCCGAACCGTTACAGGAAGTTCTGCGCAAGTTCTTCAAGCCCGACCCCAAGAAACGACCCTCAGCCTTTGACCTCATCCCATGTGAGTTCTTGCGCGACGATGTAGATGTATACGAGCGACCCTCCACACCCGTACGTTCGAGGAACTCTTCAACTTCATTGGGTCGGTATAGGCTGCGACGAGAGTCTTCCTCTGGTGTTGTTCCGTCATACTCACGATACGCGAATGACTGGGCCGAACAAGGTCGCTTGGGCAAGGGCGGGTACGGCGAAGTCGTAAAGGCCCGCAACAAAGTCGACGGTCGTCTTTATGCTATCAAGAAGATCAAGCAGAAGTCTGCTGCAGCGTTAAGCGAAGTTCTTTCGGAAGTCATGCTACTTTCGCGGCTCAACCACAGCTGTGTGGTACGGTATTACACTGCCTGGCCAGAGGCCGAAGCAGATGATTACTATGACTCGGCAACATCAGATGGCGACGAGTCTGACTGGGAATCGGACGTTTCTCCAGGCACGACTACGACTGATGGTGGCGGTCCCGGAAGAAGCACTGGTGGTTTAGACTTCATTAGCTCCAGTGGATATCCCAAGATCGAATTTGGGTCTGACGCAGAATCGGAAGATGACGTCGGTGCAGTAATCTTTGGCTCCGACTCAGGTAAGCAACCAATGGCATGGAGCGTCATGTAAACAACAAGCTGACTGAAGGCAGAAGATGAGGCAAGCATAGGGCCACTCTCGCCAGTCAAGAAACGCGCCATGTCCGACTCAACACCTGCAAAGCCCTCGAGGTCAATCTTGTACATTCAAATGGAGTTTTGCGAGAAGCAGACACTCCGAGATTTGATACGTACCGGACTTTATGACGATCCAGACGAGTACTGGAGATTGTTCCGGCAAATTCTCGAAGGACTCGCTCACATCCATGGCCACGGTATTATCCATCGTGACCTCAAACCTGACAACGTCTTCATCGATATGGCCAAGGTGCCTAAGATCGGCGATTTTGGATTAGCCACCAGTGGCCAATATCAGAGGCCTGATACAAAGTCCTCCAATGGTACACAGGATGGTGGCGACATGACGCGGAGTGTCGGTACTGCGCTTTATGTTGCTCCTGAGCTCAGCTCGACCGTTATTGGCGACTACAACAACAAGGTGGATATGTACTCCATGGGCATCATCTTCTTCGAGATGTGCTTTCCCCTGAGAACTGCCATGGAGCGCGACAAAGTCATCCGATCGTTACGCGAGCGGAAACACGATCTTCCGCAAGAGTTCGAGACGCCGGAAAAGTCGTTGCAGGGTACCATCATCAAGTCTCTCATCAGCCATCGCCCTTCAGAGAGGCCCGGATGTACGGAGCTTTTGAGAAGTGGCAAGGTACCCGCTCAGATGGAGGACGAGGCCGTCAAAGAAGCGCTCAAGGCCCTATCCGATCGGAACTCGCCTCACTATGCAAAGATGATGGCCGCTCTTTTCTCACAAAAGCCCGATACCCAAGCAAAGGACCATGCTTGGGATCTGAGCGCGACCACTCAGAAGATCAAGGCTAATGATGTGCTTCTGCAGAATCTAGTGAGGGACAGATTAGCCATGGTCTTTCGGAGCCACGGCGCTGTTGAGATACAACGTCAAGTTCTACTACCCTGGTCCGACCATTATGCGGACACGAAGGTCGTCAAGCTTTTTGATCCTTCTGGAACCCTAGTCCAGCTACCTTACGATCTGACATTGCCGTACGCACGTAGCATCGGTCGAGGTGGAGCGTTCCTAGAGAAGACTTTTACGATCGGTCATGTCTACCGTGACGACTACACCGGAAGTGCTCCACGTAGTAACGGCGAGGCAGACTTCGATATATTGTCCTACGATACGCTTGACCTTACTTTGAAGGAGGCAGAGGTTCTCAAGGTCGTCGATGAAATCATTGATGAGTTCCCTTCATTTCGATCAACGCAGATGTGTTTCCACTTGAATCACGCCGATCTGTTAGACATGATCATGGAATTCTGCAGAATCAGTGTCCCAAAGCGCGCGGCAGTCAAAGCAGTCCTTAGTAAGCTGAACATCGGAAAGAACAACTGGCAGTTGATACGCAACGAATTACGGTCCTCCGACATTGGCATTCCATCAACATCGTTAGATGATTTGGCACGCTTCGATTGGCGCGACACCCCAGAAAAGGCTTTTGCGAAGCTGCGGCGACTATTTGAAGGCACCAAGTACCTTGATCGGACTCACGTCGTCTTTGCACACCTAACCTCTGTCATCAATTACATGAAGTTGTGGGGCGTGAAGCGCAAGGTCTACATCAGTGTACTGAGCAGCTTCAATGAGAAGTTCTATTCTGGTGGTATTCTGTTCCAATGTCTGTTCGACACAAAGCAGAGGGAGGTGCTTGCTGCAGGTGGCCGGTACGATAAGCTGATCGAAGAATACCGTCCGAGAGGCTCGAGCCACGCACATCCAGCGGCTGCCTACCACGCTGTTGGTGTGAACCTGGGGTGGGACAGACTCGTCAACTCCATGAGCCGATACATCAAGAAGCCCGAGAAGTCGACGTTCTTGCGAAAGCACGCTGAAGAAGACACGCCATCAATCTCCTGGATGCCACGACGCTGCGACTGTCTAGTCGCTAGTTTCGATCCAAACGTTCTCCGCTCTACCGGCATCAAGATGGTAGCAGACCTCATCGCTCATGGCTATACCGCCGAACTCGCCGTCGATGCGCACTCCATCGAAGACATTTTACGTCATTATCGCGAAGACAGACATAGCTGGGTTATCGTCATCAAACACGGCGTCGCCCCTGACAAGCCGGAGCTCAAGGTCAAATCCATCGCAAAGAAAGAAGACACAGATTTGCGCAGTACCGATCTTCTGAACTACCTGCGCAACGAACTCCGAGACCGCGAAGAACGCGAAGGAAGCGCAGCCCGTCTAATCAAAGCTCCACAACCAACTTCAAGCAACACTGCCAATGCGTCAAAAGCAAACGTCGACGTCCTTATCGCCCAGCACCGATCCAAGAAGAGCAACAAATGGTCTATCGTTGAGGCCGCGCAGTCAAGGTCGACAGATTTACTTTCCGCGTTCCAATCCGCGCCCATCGCTGCTATCGAGTCAAAGGAAGAGGTCATGAACTTGCTCAAGGAGACGCGTCTCAGCGACCCGGACTCGTGGCGTTACTTCATACAAAAGATGCCGCTTGCTGAGAGGAAATATCTGCAAGAGCTGCACGACTTACTGCTGGGTTATAGAGCGAAGTGGGTAGAGAACAAGGGCGAAGGTGGAACAAATGGAGAAGGAGCTGTAGGCAAGGCTTTCGTGTACAATTTCAGGACTGGAGGGTGCTTGCTGTATGATTTGGAGAGTTGAGACATGAGCACTAAGAAGCTAGCGTCTTTCAGCATTTATTACTCAAGACGTACCCCTATGGTATACGTAGTAGCTGAAGTCAAGATCAGAAACTCGACATTGGCTCTAGCAGTGAAGGAAGCTTTCATCAGCACGACGACTAACCGGTCTTCTCTATGTGCCCACGCAGTAGCTGGATCGCGGCGTCACGTTGCGTTATCGCCACACTCGCCCTTTTCGCAGCATCCTTCCACCAGCCCGCCTCACGTTGCCGCTCACCCGCCACCGTCTCCCACGAGATCGCCTCAGTTCTCCGTTGCTCCTCCATCCCGCCAGGCTCTATGAAGAATTTCAGAGTCGTCCAAACTGCCTCTGCCTCATCAATATCCTGAGAAGCACTGAACAGGTCAAGGGCGTCAGCATCATGAGTGCTCGCCAACCATGTCTTGATATAAGCGCACATCTTGGAAACCGCGGCAACGTAGTTGAGGTACCTGTAGAGATGATCGACGTTGCCATCGGCCTTCTCCAAAGCCTCCGCAACACGATTCCATGATCCGGCAGCTGCCCGCAGACTGACAACCTCCTTTGTGAGCTCCTGGTTATCTGCCTGCGTCGTCTCAGGCTGTGCTGCCGTATCTTCCGCTTCATCCCTGAGCTTGCCATGCGCTGCCTCTGGTCCTCCTGGGCCGCCCTTCCCACGGTCACTCTCCTCCAGGTGCTCGGACCTGTCGGCCGAGTTCCCATGATGTTGCTTCAGCTGCTCAAGCTCTGAAACAACCCCCCCGTTTCCGTCTTTACCATGGTACTTTTCCGATAGGGCGTTGTACCTGCCGGTCAAGTCCGCATAGTTTTGCTTCAGCTGCTCAAGCTCTGAAACAAGCCCTTCTTTGCCGTCTTCCCCGTCATGCATTTCTTTCAGCTCGTTGAGGTTCTTCTCGAGAACATCGTACTTGCACAACAGCCCCCCTTTCCCATCCTCTCCTTCATGCTCGGCTTTGAGGCTCTTGAACCTTAAAGCCAACTCGTCATATCTCTGCTCCATGGTTTCCCCTGGCTGCAGTCCATACTTCTCCCTCTCTCCCTTTAGCTCTGCTGCCGGCTCATTCCACACCCGCAGTTGGGCGCCTTCCATCTTGGCGCGAGGGGGTGTGGTGTGCTGCTGCCGCCCATCATCACCGAATGGGGTCGTCATTTCGGGGTTGAATTCGGCCCTCATGATCGAGCTGAAGTCTTGCCGGCGTGCTCCAGGCGGCGGGATCGGCGTCGCAACTTCTCCATCATCTGCTCTCTCCCCATCCTCATCCGCACCTGCATCTGCCACCGAATCCCTACATATTGTTAGCAAGAAACAGGAAGGAGCGAAAGTACTCACGCATCCTCATCATCGTCCATCTGTCTTGTCTGCCTTGTTGCTCCACGCAACCTATCCGTAAAGGCATTCGGATTCGCCATGGTGTAGTTGAGATGGTGAGGTGTGCTGGGATGAAGCTTACCTAGGTAGTCGCACCCGCCGTATGGAAGGCGCTACGCCCGATTCGCTCCACGACGTGACGTGACCACCAACATCACACCATGGGTCAACGAATCGCACAACCAGCCAAGGGTTAACCACTAAGGAAGAGTAACTTCGGATCTTCACGTTTTTGGTACCTGTCTTGATCGGATCAAGATCGTTAGGATGAAATTCCGAAGAAAGTTGGAGGCTATAAGCCATGGTATGTGTGTACAACCAAGCAAAGCGAGCGCCGTTTGTGTAACTTTCAAGGCGCCATTGCGATGAAGATTCGGATAGGTAATCACGGAAATCTTTCAGATGCGGTGCGTTGAACAAGGGATCCTGACGGGCATCTTCGAGGTACTTTCAACAATAAGATACGTATGGGTGCTCTAAGACTACATAAGCAAAAAGGTGCGCTTGTTAAACAGGAAGTACTTACCTGCTGTGTTGGAAGACACGGAGCTTGACATGGCCAGTGCTAGCGTGGGGTTGATGTGGAATGTAAGTAGAAAGCGTTCAGCGCTACAGTGTCAAAACATAGCCCGTGTTGAGAGCGCCATAGAGTGCACAGCGCCGTGTAAAGCTGACGAGAGATATGTTTATGTGGTGCGATAAGGCCTAACATGCAGCAGCACTCGCCGGAAAGTCATCGCAAGGCAGGGCAGGTGCAGTCAATCTCATTGGCGGTATCAGTGGCGGCAGGCGTACTCGTGCCATGTCCTGTCGCTCGGTAGGCGTCACAGCCATGGCAAATAGCAGTCTCGCTAACACGGGGAGCTCCTGACGACCAGCGCATCAGCCCATACGCCAGTAGGTATGCAATGCACCTATTTCTAGAATCTTCAGTTCGAGGACATGCATGTGGCTTCAACGGAAACTGTGCGCAACGTCGGCGTAAGCTCGTGTGGGGAGGATGCGGGGTTGACGCGTCGTAGCAGCGCGTATCGTCGTTTTCTCGTACCGTGGCACTATATCGCGCGTCAGTAACAATTGCGCTCTGCGCTGATAATGCGCGTAGACGTACCCTTCGCCCCCTCCGCTGTGTGGGCCTTACTGCTTGATACTTCCGGGCGACGAACACGGCATTATAGTGGTAGTTTCATGGGAACGCTACCAGATCGTAAATCACAAACTCTTGGATGCTATGCATTATGTGGCATTGAAAACGCATCTTAGATGCTATCAAAAACGACGCGTATGACACGTCTCCAGCGATGCATCCATGGATGTAATGATGAGCCGCGGAGTCCGGGCGTGGTGGGTCCATTCCCAATTGCGTCTAGACCAAATACGCAGCTCTCGCATCTCAAGCTGGAGGCAGGCAAGATGACGCCAGCCACCCAGCCTTCCACACGACACCACCTCCATCATCATCGTCGCCGCTCGCATCTCATACAGCGAACTTCGACCTCGCTCTCAGCCTGGCACCATAAACCCAGATCAGATACATACCAATCTACTTAGAGTTAGCGCACAATCACAGACTTGCTTGATCTGGTCAAACTCACAATGCCCATAACACTCAGGCCACCCAAAAGACTAATTCCCTTTCCTATTCCCAATTTGAGATACATTGGGCGGGAGAAGAGTACGGATCCGAAAGCGAAGGCAGAGCGACAGAAGTCATTGCCCGCGAAGAGGGACGCGGCGTATTGCGGGTAAGACATGGGCACGTAGGCTTCAAAAATGTTAGCGAAACGAACAGTAAGCACCGTAGAGGCAGAGACGACGACTTACAAAAGACAGCCTGGAAGATGATATACACGCTAGTCGAATATATAACGATACCGATAGCTGAAGCAAGCCAATGTACAGATTGGCGAGCCGTCCAGCCTACGCAAAATCGCTGTTAGTGCCTGAATTCTCAGCTCTAGTCGTCCGGTCAGACTCACCAAAGATGAATAAACCGATCGGTACCCCAAAACTCGCAAAAATGGCCGGCACGAGTCTATGCTCTTGGGGTCTCAGTCCTTGCTTGAGGATATCCGGTATGAGGTAGAACCTCAGATAAGAAAAGTAGATCGTCATAGCAATGACGCATCCCACGATGATCGAAAGAAACACGATCGTCATCTCGCCGACGCTGAACCCATATATCTCCAAATACACGAGAGGGAAAACCTCGAAGAAGGAGTAGTAGATACCGTATGTCAGCGCGGAGTAGACGTTGATGAAGAAGAGAGCAGGGTCTTTTACGCAGATCTCCAGAGGTTTGATGAGAGTATCTAGGAGTTCTGCGGAGAACTTGGTGCCTTTGCGATCGATCTCGGTTTGCGTATGGATATTCGGATTGCCAGTCAGTGCACGCAGACGGGCAGATCGGTAAAGAAGGATGGTGGTAGGCTGCGTTTCTGGCAGGAAGAAGAAAAAGAGGAGGAATACTGGGGCGGCCATCCAGAGGAGTTCCCATTGAGACCTAAACACATACGACTAATCAGCATCGACGAAAGAAGAAGGCTAGGTTGATAGAGCAACAAGACGTACCATCGCCAATTCTCAGCATAGACGGAAAAACCAGATAGGAGAGGCCCGAGAGCTGGCCCCGCAAATGCAGCTGCTGTCCAGAAAGCTAGACCATATGGTATGTGGAGCAGAGAGTACAAATCCTGCATCGTAGCTCCGCCGTTCGCTAGGCAGGGGCTTCCGAAAAAGCCGAGTAGGAAGCGAAGGAACAAGAAGCCGCCAAGATTGTCTACCAGTGCGGTAGGTAAAGTGAGGATGGTGAAGAGCGCGAAGGTCGTGATGTACGGTATGTTTCTGCCGAGTTGGGGTACTGTGATGAGCTGTTAGCAAGGCCTACGTCCGCGACAACTTCCTCACACGGGACGAGCATCCGATGAAGAGGGACAGGAGAGGACATCACATACCCTCGCTCAGAGGCGCAAACAACAACGGACCGATCCCATATCCTACACACCGTCAGCTATCCATCCCATCCCATCATCTCTCTCATCGCAGGCCAGCAACATACCTAGCACATAAAGCGCCAACCCCAAACTCGCCTTAAACGCCCCCACCCCAAACTCACTCATAACCAACAGCGTACTACTAACATAGATCGAGCTACCCGCATACACAATGAACGTATACAGACAGATCAAGAAAGCCGTCCATGCTTTCTTGCCCTGCGACCAGTTCTGTGGGTTCGCAGTGTCGGTCGTGGTGTACCATTCGGCTAGTATGAGGCCGTCGGCCGTCTTGACGGGAGCGATGGAGTGGACGGGTGAGTGTGTGGTGTGGAGGGCTAGGTCGGCTTCGAGGCGTGAGGGGCTGAAGGGCAGGGCGTGTGACGGGAGCGGGGTGGTTGAGATTGAGTTGCGTGTCGAAGTCCCTTCAGCTCCTGCGGTATGGGAAGGAAGTTTCTCGACGTCGGTGTATGCACATGGGATTTCGAAATCGGGTAGCTCTTCTGGATACTTGAAGAACTGGTTACGTGTTGCGTAACGGACGATTTGGCCAAAAGGCGCGTCGCGAACGATCTCCTTGATGGTGTCCATGATTTCCAGATACGCGAACGAGATCTCGCAAAATTCGATACTGTCAAGAAAGCTGCCCAAGCTTTTCCGGTATAACACCCTTCTTATACCTACACATCTTACCACCTATTCTAATCACCAAAACATCCCCATAAGCGGCTCTGCTCCCCTCCTCCCATCCAGCCAACGCACTGGAAAGCCACCCCTTCCCGCCTCCTCCCCAACGACAAATCAACGTTACAGTCAGCAAAAGCCATCAGAAACCACAGAGCGAATATTCATACACCAGAGCAAATTGCATGACGCAAGGCTGATAAGACGCCGGACATGGCAAGTAAGACCCGAAAGCGGCGGGTAGACAGCCACGTGATTGGTACTGCAGCGAAAGCCACAAAGCCCAACGGCGTAATTTGCACTTTTTGCTGACCGATCAGGGTTTGTTGATGGAATGCAGTGGCAGGACTGGCTTGATAGCACGCGTTCAGCCCTTTGCTTCTGTTTACTGATCGGTGTTCGTCGTCGACGTGGTGCGTTTTGTCAGATCCGCCAAGATCCGATACTGGCTGACATGTACATGCTGACGAGCACCGCTTACCCAAGTTACCTCACACAATGGAAAACCCCGAACATCCTAGAGCCTACGTTGACCTTGGACTGCTTACTTTGTACATTTTTATCTTAATGTAGGCTCTAGGGTGTTTAGTAGTACACGTTAATTATGAAAAAACTAGACAGGCCTGCAGCCTACATCAACACAAAAACCTACAAAATAGGTAATCTGGCGTTAATGTAGGCTCTAGACCTGTTCAGTTTTTTTCTTGTATAAAGTGGGTACGTCAATGTGTCGATTATAATTATATGCACACTAAGAGCAGGTAACCACCCATAGGCCCTGTCTGGTATACGCCGACAATGAAACAGAAGGAAATAATGCCTCGCTCATGCAAAACCTTGATCACATGCTTTTTTTCCGTCTCCAACTCCGTCTAAATTTGACTCTCCCCTCTCATCCCAAGATCCTTCGACCGTACGGCGGAGCTGCGATCTTCTATTGGGCAGCTGATGTAGGTTTTGACTCATACGCAGTCTTTGCTGTAGTAGTCAAGGTTTCTAGCTCGCCACTGGTTTCGCACATGGACCGGAATGAACCGCCATCTTTTCGGACAAGATCGTAGGGGTGGCCGTACTCGATGACCTCACCCTTGTCCAGAACAAGGACCTTGTCATAGTCAATGATTGTTTGGAGACGATGTGCTATCGTGATTGTGGTGTTCTTGATCTGACGAATGGTTTCTTGGATCTTCGCATCCGTGGCGTAGTCGATGGACGCTGTGGCTTCGTCCATCAGCAGAACCTTGGGTGCTTTCAGTAGCGCTCGCGCTAAGCACAAAAGTTGTCGTTGACCTTGCGACAGGTTGGACCCGGATTCCGACACCAATGAGTTGAGGTTCTTGAATGGGTTCTTGTTGTCGGCCTCCATAGCAGCCTGTGCCGCTACATCGTCGCGGTCCACGGTACGCCCATCAGGCATGACCACGATAGTGTCTTCCTGTGTCTCGCCACGTTCCCAGTCGCGGTTCGCCAGAATGGACCCGGGATTTGTGGTAGCGGCTGAGTAGCTGCCGTTGACATCCGCTGTTACAGCGTTTGTTGTTGGAACGGGAATCTGGACAGCGCGAGGTGGGGTGGTCGCTCCAGTAGGAGTGACAGAGCCGGACGCGGGGCGTGATAGAGTAGAGATCAGGTTGACTTCGCGAAGGGCGGTGTAGATCTCTTCATCAGTGAAGATGGAGAAGGGGTCGAGATTGCTTCGGATAGTGCCTGTGAAAAGTGTCGGATCTGTGTAGTGTCAGCATCTGTTCCACTCTAATAAGATATAAAGATGTGCCTACCTTGCGGTACCATGACGACGTTCTCCCGCAGATCGTGCAGGCCTATCGTACCAACATCGATGTCATCGATCAAGATCTTGCCCTTCTCAGCCTCCAACGCCCGGAACAAGGCAAGTGCCATCGAACTCTTGCCGGCACCTGTTCGGCCTACGACACCGACCTTCTCACCTGGAAGGATTTTGAAGGTCAAGTCCTTCAGGACAAGGTCAAAGTCAGTTCTGTATCGCGTGCTGTAGTGGATGAACTCTACGGATCCCTTGCTCGGCCAGTTGGATGGTGGACGGTTCTCTGAAATGACAGATGGAGCTTCCTGGTCAACATCGAGATACTCCTTGACACGCTCGACCGAGTTCATGTTCTGTTCATTAGCAGAGTAGAGACGAACGAACCACAAGACGTTCTCGGTGAAGGTAACAGCATAGGTAAGCGCGAGACCCGCTGCACCTGCATCAATGTGTCCAACGCTGAGCACCACGAAAGCTCCGGAGAAGAAGGCGACCATGGCACCGACGACGTCCACTCGGAACGCAAGCCACCTGTTGGCTGCCCAGAGATAGATGAACGGACGATGTTGAGTGTTAATCTTCGCCAAGTTCTCGCGGATGAAGCGGCGTTCGTCACCGTAGGCTCTGATAGTCGTCATGCCGGATAGTGTCTCACCAAACTGTTGATACAGCGGACTTCGATGTACGGATTCCAATCGCTTCAGGTCGCGGGACGAATTGATGTAGAAGCGACCGATGAGGAAGTAGAGGATGGAGATGAAGAAGGCCGCTATTAGGAAACCAGGAGTAATGATCGAGATAAGAATGACGATCGTGATGATTGAAGCGAAGCAATGGACAACACCAATGGCGACTGGCGCTACCTCTTGGTCGACGGATTCAATGTCCTTGGAGAACCTGTTCATGAGCTGACCGAGTGGTGTCTGATCGAAGAAGCGGAACTTGGCATGGGTGACCTTTTGAATGAGACGTTCGTGTATGCGTTTGGATGCAGCGAGAGACCCTCCAAAGAGGAAACCTTCTCGTAAGAAGGTGATGAACATGAAGATGAGTCCAAGAACGGCGTAAACGCTGAGGAAGTATGCAGAGTTGACGTCCGGGTTCGGGTCACTGAAAGTAGTCTGCATGGTGTTGTAGGCATACGACTGCTGCTCCGGTTGTGTAAAGAAGGGAATGTTCCAGCTGCAAGTACCACTGTTCATGCATGTTCCCATGCCACTTATTGTCGGAGCATGCGTTACCGGAGATTGGTGGTGGCTGCTCGCTACAGCATAGCCCTTTTCTGCGTACGCGTTCGCCCATGTGCGGATCCAGAGGTTGGTAGATACCGAAGAGATTTGCGCAGCTACAAAAGCAATGGTAGCACCAAGCCAGTAGTACCAGGGGCCCATAGCTCGAAGATACATGGTGATGATGCTCAGCTTCACGCCCCCCTCTGCTTTCTTCTCGTCCTGACTGTTGCTGGCTGGCTTCTTCTTCTTAGCGTCCGGTTTGCCATTTGCGGTGCCATTAGCAGACCCGTTGGCGTGATTGGCATCGCCGTTTGCTTCTTCACCAGCATCCGAGGGCTCTTGAGAAGGAGGCTTGGACGCTCCTCTTGATGCGGGCCGTGATTTAGTAAGATCCTCGGTAAGCTTTCCTGAGTTGATGACCTCATCTGCTGTGCCTTGTGCGACCACTCGGCCGTTCTCAAGTGCAACAGCAAACTCTGCGTGTGGCAAACAGAGGCTGACGTTGTGTGTGACGAGGATGCAAGTTCGGTTGGCCATAAGTCGTCCGTGAAGTGCGTAATGGAAGATCCATTTGGCAGTATGGGCGTCGACAGCGCTCAGAACATCGTCAAGAAGAACGTGACGAGCCTTGCTGTACAACGCACGGGCCAATGAGATACGCTGTTTCTGGCCTCCGGACAGTGTGACACCCTTCTCTCCCACTATCGTCTCGTCGCCAGCATCAAGGATCTCAAGATCTCGCTTCAGAGAGCAGGCTTCGATAACCTCGTCGTAGCGCTTCTGGTCGAAAGGACTTGCGAATACGATATTGTCCTTGACCGTACCGTTGACAAGCCAAGCTTGCTGAGCGCAGTAAGCTATACTGTCAGTGAGTCCAGTGTCGGGGTCGGGAGTCAGGTCCTCTCGGCTTAGTCCACCAGGCAAGTAAACACTACCCTTGAGCTTTGTCATTTCACCAAGCAGGCCCATGAGCAATGAAGTCTTTCCAGAGCCAGTGGGTCCAACAACAACGTTGAGCTTGCCGACACGGAACGTCAGGTTGAGGTCCATCAGCTTGAAGGCATCCGCCGAAGCCTGGTCTGCCATGTCTGTTCCTCCCCAGCTGAATGTACCGTTCTCGAATCCAATGATGGCTTGGCCATCTTCGTCCTTCTTCTGGGTCACGAGTTGCGAGTACTTGTCCGTCTCAGGCTCGGACAGATACTCCTCGATACGATCAACTGAAACCTTGGATTCTTGGACGTGGGCAACCATATCTGCGAGCTGATCCAGCGGGATCCTCAGAATTTGGAAAAGCGAGAGGGCGGTGAATGCGACAGATGGAATGAGCGCCTTATGTTCAACGTTCGTGTACACGAGGAAGGACAAGAACGTGATTAAGACTGGCGAGCCCGACCATATCGTAGCTGCCACCGCCCACAGAATGTATCTCCGTCGCAGATGCTTGAGCTCAATGTACCGCTTTTCGTTGACCAGACCAATGAAGCGTTGCTCCCAAGCAAAGAACTTGATAATCCGGATGTTGGTGAGGACTTCGTTGGTCGTGTGGATGCGGGCATCGGTGGCCGCGAGAATGAGTTTCTGGATCTTGGAGAATTGTCGCGCAACATACATGTTGATAGGGAGCAAGAAAACCATCATACCAATACCAGCAATCGAGCTGTAACCCAGGATGCGGTAGAGCAAGAAGACAGCCACGACAACTTGGACTGGGGTGTTGGCCCAGAGGAAGTGTAGATAAGCGCAGATCTCGCTGACTTTGAAAGCGTCGACAGCCATAAGGTTGATGATAGCACCGGTGGTGACCTGAGCGTCGGATTCGGGTTTCGATGTTTCGTCTTCTTTCGAGGCTCCAGTCGCCTTCTTCTTCTTGCCAAAGGTGAACATGCGCT